GCATAGTAGTTCATCAGTTCAGTATTTCAGGTTAGGCATACTGTTGAGAAGAAAGATGTATTTGTTCACTATATTCAGGGGCAGATCTACATAGGGACTAATTGGGTATTAAGCCCTGGGCCTCCAAGTGTCAAAGACCCACAAAAATTGAATTATTATCATAAATTTTTAATACTAACAATGAGCACTTATCGTATAGTAAAAAATAGTTAATATTAATAATATAAAAATAATGATAATTTGTAGTAATATTTTTATTAACAAAGAATGGGGCCCCATTGGACTTCAATAAGCCCTAGGCCTTGAAAAACCTAGATTCACCCCTGACTATATTCAATTTATATAAAAATGAAGAAAAGTTTTATATTTTGTTGGAATATGGTATATTACATTCCTAACATTTTTTCAAAAAATAAAATAAAATTAATTATGCTAAGGTATGTTAAAGCAAGTTGGAGTTGTGACAAATTAGATGCATTTTAGCATGTGGGATAATAAATGGATATGCAGATCAAAGGTTAGTTTTGTTATTTCTTTTAGATTTGACTTTTTAGGCTTGAGGAATTATTGTCATTTAAGTTTTGCCTTCAATTTTTAAATATGAATTGTTATTCTAAGTGAATGTAAGTAAGTAAAATTTCTTTAAATTGTCATTCTAGTAGTAATAAGTAATTATTTTTGAATATAACAGAATTAACAAAAAGTACTTAATTGTAAGATTTTAGAAAATTTGTTATTTTTAAATATAATTTGATTTTTGAATACCATTCTTTCTTGGTTCTGATGCAAAATGTCACTAAGTGACAGCATAACATTCAAAAGCAAACATGTGATGCAACACAACTGATGGGGATAAAACATAAAAGTACCAAATTTTAATTAAATTTCTTATGACTGCTGTTATATATATATCGTAAAGTCTTTGCAAATCCGCACTTAAAATGTAAATTTTAATATTGGCGGTAGACTATCACACAGCTTTAGCCAATGATTTCACTTTATTCTATTACTATAGATGCATTTCGGTCCTTTTCTAAAAAAGGTCCCTCTTCAGTACTATAAAATNGCAACTGCTTTATAGAAAATCTTGAAATTTTGCACACTACCTAAGAAAACAATTATCTTTTGAACAAGATATTTGGAATTACTTTAGATGTTTGGGAGGGCAGAGAAATCAACCCTTGAAAATCAACAATTCTGATTTCTGTATATGTAGTCAGTCAGTGACTTTTTTACTTGGCAGGGAGTCACTGGTGTGACTCTTGATATTTACTTTTGATCCTGATATGTAGATGAATTTTGTTTTTTGTTTGCAAGAAGGGTTCTGATCTGATCCAATCTGATGTAGTGTGCAACAAGCTTTCATTTGTGTTCTAATCCAATGTAGTGTGTGACAATCTTAGGCTAGGCTACAAATGGGAAATTGATATACAGTCGACCCCCTATAATTACGGTTCCAATAATTACGATTCCTATAAAACTGCGAAAAAATTGTGACGGTATCCGTAAAAAACAGTAAAAAACCCCCTATAATTACGTTAAACGTCATCGGGCAGCCGAACTACTTTCCCGCCATCCGTAGCGCCACGCTACGGAGAGATTTCTATCGTCTGGACAGTATTATATAAATTATATATAAATTAGGTACTGTACATATAATTATATATTAATTATATATANATGACACCAATCTCCTATTTAAATTCCAAAAATAAGATTCCTTTTTTCTTTTGACATAATACTTTATATTCTTTCAAATAGTTTTTATAGAACGTTTAATTTTCTACAGTATTTAACTTTTTTGCCTTCTTAAACAATTTCCACAGATTCTTTTCTCATCATGAAACATTCACTATCATACCATACATTTCTTATATGGCTTTTAGGAGGAACCAATTTAACATCATGAATTACTGCTGTCCAGGAATCATTGCTGCTTTAACTATACAATTCACTAGATCATTAGATGTAAGGCTTCCTCCATACTCTTCTGATAAAACTTTATCTAGTGTAATAGTAAATGAAGATTTAAATTCACCCCTCCATATTGCACATTTACCAAAAAATTGTCTGTCAGTAGCTCTAGATGATATCAAGGGGATCATTGATAGTAAGACAGATGAGTGATCAGAACCTATCTCTGATAAAACATGCAAGTCATTTATAATATGAGAATATATTTTTTGTGATACTATCACAAAATCAATGTTAGTGCCTCCTTAATTGTATGGTAGGTAAAATTACCTTCTTCATCCCCTGGCAATAAACCATTTAAGCAAACAAGATTATTATTCTCACAAAAATGGTAGAGAAGTTTCCTCTATCATTAACAATGGAGTTTTTTTAATCTCTCAAAGCAATTTGCCAGCCACAAGTGAAACATGACAAATAATCAGAATGTTCCATTCTAGCATTAAAATCTGTGCATAAGATCAAATTATTTCCATGTAATTAGTAGTTTTCTATAAGCAACAAAATATTCTTGAAATCATCATACTTATTGTTAGACAGAATATATAACACTATTAGCTAGATATTGGTTAAGTCTTCAGTATCTACTGTAGTTGTAAAATCAGCATAAACTGTGATTGAAATATCAGTTTAACTTCAGAGACTGCATCTAATGTAAGTCCAACAATTAATTCACCACTGGGTCTTCCAGGACCCTCACAGCTATATGCTACCTGATGATAAATTTTATAATTATTAGAAAACATTGATTTAATTATGAGAGATGTATGCCATGTTTCTACCAGACAGAACTCATCCATTCTATATATCAGATTCCAGAAATTAGGAAAGCAATATTTATTATTTAAACTTGCAGTATTATAAAATAGAAGTTTCATATTATCATTATTACTCAAGTACAGAATATATGTCATCCTTGTCCTTTATGTTATCATACTGTTTATCATTGTAAACTATATTAATAAAAAAGATTGTTCTCTATCTAGCTGGAAAATTTCACCATTGTAATTTCACACAAATATCTTATCATATATAATTAATCTGTTATATCGCAATTTAACATTTCTAGCTTCTTTTGAACACATTTCTTTACCATAGAGTCTTAATTTCTTTCTGATAGTTCTTGTATTAATCTTTATCCATTTGGTTTAAATTTTCCAATTCTAGAAGCATGCTTAATATTCACATCTGTAATCTTTAAGTTATTGTTAAGAAGTTTCTGTACCTTAAATAAGCTATTGTCCATTTTATTGTTATCCTCTATGTCTGAGATTACAATATTATTTCTTCTTTCTTTATCTTTTAACCTCATTAACTTTTCATGCAAATTATTACGTATTGCATCAATTTCCGTAATTGATTCGTCATAAGTATATTAAACAACTCAAAGCCCTATATATATATATATATATATATATCCAAACAATTGCCTTGAATACTGGGGCTATAAATTTGCTAATTTTAATAATTAGTACTAAGTAATTTGCTTTTGCTACTACAGGCAGACATTAGGTGCCATTTCTTATCTAAATATTAATTTAATAATTATAATTTTAAGTAATTTATTAAATTATTTAGAATCATCTGAAAGAAAAGAACTGGCCAGGGCATAAACCTGCAACCTTTGTTTGTTGTGCTTTTCCTAGCTATTAGTGCTAGAAATTGTGTTCGTCCTTAAATTTTGGACACGTGTATAATTACTATCTAATAAAAGTCAAGACATTTTTTTTGGGGGTGCTGCAGTTTTGAAATGTTTATCATGAGCCACCACTGGGAATGACAAAGGCTAATTGCATTAAGATGTTGAATAAGGAATTTAAAGTATACAAAAATTAAAAAATAAGTAAAGATGTTATTATAAAATATGCGTGTAATAATAATGTCTTTACTTATTTTTTACTATGCATATTTAGAAAAATAGATTTAATTTTCCAAAAGACTATATATAGTTGGTATAATAAATTATAGATTGACAGAAAACATGCTATTTTTTTCATCATATTTATGATCCAATATCATAAAGTTGCATAAATAGAATCTAATATTAACAATAGGCAATTAATTTTTAATTACCTAACTCATTTCACTAGTTTACTTTATTAAAAATAAATAAATAAATTTATCATAAACAACAAACGTACTGGGGAGCCTGTTACTGGTGTGCTTCTCGGAAAAACAGAGCATTATGAACGTTTTTGAACTTGAAAGTTTTTCTTCAGGTAACTAATGACTGTTAGACAAATGTAATTTGATGTTTACTTTATCTTGGTGCAGTCTCAATCTTGTTTGATTAAATTTATCATACATAGAAAGAAATCTTTCTTTCAGCATATTTAAAATCATTTTATATAGCTGATTTGTGTGATCACTTTTAAGTTTATCATGAATAGGAAAATGTTATAAAATATGATTAGTCAAAGGGGATAATGAATAATAAATATTTTTTTGGTTAAGTAGTAATTATCTTATCATTTAATAGCTGAAACACTGAACTATATAAAAATCAAACAATTTCTGACTTAATATATTTTCTTCTAAAAGAGGCCAAAAATGTAATAGATTACTCATTAATGACAAATGCAATTATCACAATCAATATGGCTAATATATAATATCAACCTAATTAATATAACTAATCAATATTGTATCTGTTTTGTCTTTCACAAACAAAGGATTAATATGGAAAAACATATAAGTTATATATTTGACAATTATATATATTATCTAATACAGATTATAGTCAAAAAAGGTGTTGAGGTTAAACATGAAAATTGTACAAAAATACCAAAATTTTAGTAGGTTTGTATTTCTAGACTTTTAAGGAAGGAGAAATATTAAAAATGTTAATAATGAAAAGCTAAATTTATTAAAACAGATTATAAATAATTTGAAGTAGTTAACTTTTTTTGATATTCTATTTTATAGTTTTTAAAATTATTATTCATTATTGGCTTTTATTTAATAATTTATATTATTAAAACAAATTATCATCAGTATTATTATAAAATATAGAATTGTTTTATTTTCAGAAAACAGAAAATGAAAATGTATATTCAGAAGCTGGTAGTCATTCAGATCGTCCTAATCCTAGAACTATATTATTACAGAGAAATGATGATGAATTTGGATTTACATTACGACATTTTATTGTATACCCTCCTGCAAACTTACAGGTAGAATTAATATTTGTTTAAAATTCATAAATTTTTGACAGTGACAATATATTTATTGTACATAATCTTATAAACTAGTAATTATGATAATGAAAATTAATTATTTTGAATGGATAAATTGATTTTTGGTTAGTAATAACAAAGTAATATCTTCAAATCTATTAGCTTTTTGAAGTCTGTGTAATAATTATTAGAAATGTTTTCAAAGCTTGCCCCATCTTCAATTAGTGGACAAAAGTTTGAAATTTTGTAGCTTAAATTCTTAGAACAATATGTCTGACTTTGTGTATAAAATATCATACTTTAATCTTAAAAATAAATAAATGAAGAAATACAAGATGATAGATAAGATAAAATATGGTAAACACAAATTAATTTTAAAAAATTCAAAATAAAATTGAACAGAAATTTTTTCCTGTAGAAAATGTATGAATAATAAACTATAGCAATTGTATGTATACTTGAAAATGAATATAGTTTTTGTCATTAATTTAGGTAACTTTTTATTACTAATCATTTTTAATTAAAAATGAATAAACTTCAAATAGCTAATAAACGTGTATATTATTTTTAAAAAGATATCAGGAAAAAATTAGGATTTTAAGTAATCAAGTAAATAAAAAATACCAAGAAAGTAAATATTAATGATTAAAACTAACTGGCAAAAATGTGTTAATTCAACAAGTACTTCCAAGTATTGATTTGAGGATGATCTATTGAGAGATCAAGAGTACCCATCAAATAAACATATTTGTTCTAGTTATCAAGGTAAAACAAACCTTATTATAATATGAATAAACTGATTTATGCTAACAGAATAAAGTAATAATTCATTAGCAATAAATAATAGTTTATATAAAAAATGTCTTAAATATATAGGAAATTTTTTTAAGTAAAAAACAAATATTTTTCACTTTTAAAAATTATGTTGAAAATTCATTTTAATTTTTAATAAATAAATTTCCAATAACATCACATACAAAAAGATTTTTGTAATAGCACAAATGTTGTAAACAAAACATTCTGGTAAAGCTTTTTATATTTAAGTGGTATTAAAATGATTTTCATTCTACATATCAATCTGTAGGAAGATTTATATGTAACATTACTTCATTCATAACAAAATGATAACATTATATATTCAAATTAAATATGATAAATTTTTACTTAGAAAAAATATATAATAAATAATATATAAACATTAAATTAAAATTTTTGTAAAAAACAATTATTAGATACTAACAACTTCTAATATTAATCAGAATATGATCTGATGTAATATTACAAGGAAGCCTTTAATAGGCTCGAGCCTTAACCACTAAAAGTTAGGAGCATGAATGCCCGTAATACAGAAACCTTCCTGCAAAATTTTATATATTTTCGACAAAAAGCACAGGAGTTATTAAGCTAGAAATTGGGTTAACAAAATCTTGCCCCCACACACTTACATCCATAAACTAATGTCATACTTCTCTTCCCTAATATATAAGGATCAATACATAAAGTAACAAGTGAATTTCTGAACATACCTATGTTAATAGAAATATGAAACTATAGCTTTGCATATATAGGGGGCATTGTGAGAAGGTGACATTCTTTTGCATGACATGCAAGAGAATGACACTCTCCTGACTCCTGAACACACTTATTCCCACATTTATGATATGCACTGGGAGGTTTTGGTTGGTACACGACAACTGGGCAATGGTTAACTGTGCAACCATCATCTGGGCAACAGAAACTTATAAATTTTTGCACGCTTAGCAGACATACAACTTGATAGATAGTTTCTATTTATTTATTATTTTTTTGTAAATATTGGTAAAATATATATGAATATAAATATGGTTAAGACTTATGAAGTATGACTTATAAGTTACAAACTATGAGTTATTAGTTATTTCCACCTTAGGAAAAGGAAATGTATTGTAGTATTGTTAATTATTTTATGTTAGAACGGTTAACAAAGTGCATCAAAGAAAAGCAGTTCTTTGAAAATAAATTCTTTTGAAGAATTTTTATACTATTTTGTTTTAATTTATATTGTATTTAATGTAAAATGTAATGTATTTTTAATTTTATGTAGTTGTTATTTTGTTTTTATGTATATTTGTTAATTTTGGGGATAGATATCAACTATTCTTAAAGACTTTTCTATTTACTTCTAAAAATAAATAAATAAATATGGTATGTAATCTGTATAAATATGTTTGTTAATTACAAAATCATTCTTTTAACTTGTGAATTTAAATAATATTTTTAAGAAATGGTAATAATCACCTAGAAAAGAATGGTGATTTTTATAAAGAGAACAAAAAATTTGTATTTTGTCCATTTTTCATCTATTTTGTTGCCTGGATGTCCGGCACCCAGTTAGCAGTAGCCCATTTGATCAAATTGTTTGTCGCCCAGTTGATGGTGTCCTAGTTTTAATACATTCTCCTTATAGCCTGGACCCAGCAACTTCCGTCTCTTTGGATCCATGAAAAAATATATCTATGGACAATGATTTCTGATTGTGGAGAAATCATTGCTGTGCAATGGACAGTCATTGCCCAGCTGAAGGGTCTTAACACAAAATTTCTTTTCTGATGGAATGGATGCATTGATTACCCAGTAGAACAAGTGCTTGGACAAATTTGGTGATTATGTGGAAACATAGTGTGTGCAAAGTGCTGATGCAATCATAACATAACATAAATTACACCAAGCACAGCTTATATGTTTGGCCCTATAGTGTGATGAAATAAAGGTTTTAGAATCTCTGGAATGGGAATTGTATCAACCATAAAGATGAGAAGCAAATATTGATAGTGTGGCAAATGTTCTATAATGTATCATTGTAATTATGGTTTTATCAGAAATCTCATGCATGAATGACATGTGTCTTTTTAAATTTGAATTTCACTCATGTTCTTTGGAAGTATTCCATTCATTGAACTATTGTAACCTGAAGCAGGATTCAGGAGGAATCTGAAAATACTCTCAAACATTTTAATGAATTTTCATCACTGAACTGAAATGAGGTTTGTGGTGTGTTTTGCTAAACTATCATATGTACTCATCAAATTTCAGTGGACATTTTGTAATAAAAAATTTTTCTATGTATTCTCTTTTCATATATATACACCAGGTTGTCTGCTATTATGTATAATGAGGCTATTATTTAATCTGTCTGTATTTAATGTTTTAATATAATTTTATAATAATTTCATACAATCACCACAATACTACTGGTGTATAATTCAATGAATAAATAAGTAATTACCTAAAACCAGCAATAATTCTGTTCAAAACATTTGTTTTGAAGAGAATTATTGCTCTGTTTTGAAGAGATGTTTTGAAGAGAATTATTGCTCCATTCAAAATTCAAAAAGGCCTTTCCATTACGGCATTGGCTTCTTTCGCCATTGATGATGACATGAGGGTGGACTTTGACAATGCATGATTACTACAATGGTGCAAGGACCAGGCCAGCCTGAAGTACCTCAAACAGTTGGAGATATTTAAAATGTTTAAGAGGGAAACAGCCATCAATTTTATGGCAAATTTAATACAATTGATGGCTGTTTCCCTGTGCATGAAGGGCATATTTTGACATAAAATAGATCGTCATCAAGTTTGTTTGCATAATTTATATAAACATCAAATTTTTTAAAATAGAAGGTTAGTTTGAAGACTATTTTTTTAAAGCACTACATTAAGCATGAGCATCTTCATGATGGACAATTTTTATATTTTTGGAATGACCATTCTCTTACAAGCATTCCAACACATGGAAACCCGACGATGACCATGAAAAATGGAAGAAAACATTCATTTTGAAGAGCATTATTGCTGGTTTTAGGTAATTACTTGTTTATTTGTAATAATTTCAATTGTAAAATTGGAAAAACAGTTGTGAATAGGAAACCATTAGGAGTACTAATGAATGTTTTGATGAGTTTAAAACATTACTTATGATGTTGGTTGATATGTGAATTGTCCTTCTTTTATCAATTAAGTAGAATCATTTGATATGTGCTTCAAAAGAAATAATTTTATCATTTTACACAATAGAAAGGTTAGTTGGGAAATAAATTAGACTTTGCAGTGGAAATATGCAGTTAAATTGGAAAATATTGGATAACAAATTTGATTGAAGATAGAAATAACTTTAATACTACAGATAACTTTTTGACTTTGCATATGAGCAAGAAAAATAATGTTGTTTTAAATATAAAGTTAATTTTTAAAAATCAGTTAATAAGTGAACAGTAGGTGGGGATTAGATCAGCATTATCATTTTCATGTCACGGACTTCTTTATATATACAGTAGAGCGTCGTTTATCCGAATCAATTCGGGACTGGGGTTGTTCGGATAACTGATTATGTATGAAAAATACATTAACTTAGCCCATGTTGAAATTTTTCTCTGTTGCGTGTTGCTTTGCTTCAAATTTTTATCGATATTAAGTGTAATGTAAACTTTTTAAAATAATAATAATCATGGCTATTGTATCGTTCAAAAGTATTTTTTAATTTTTTACAAACAAAATAAATATATTGAAAAATATAAAAACAAAAAAATTTATACTTTAGAAGTTATCTAGTATCAAAAATGTTCGATTCAGTTTGACACACAGTCCTCAGAAAAACACCACACAAAAGTGACAGTGCTGCCAGCTAAAACACATACACAAACATAAAAAATATTGGAGTAGCCCAAGATATAGCCAAAGATTGCAGCACCACAGCACTAGCGAAAATTTAAATTTGCTGACTGGAATTCTTTCGGATAACCGACTTTTGGATAAACGACGCTCTACTGTATATAATTCTGGAGATAAAGTTTTTAATTTGTTGAACGTAAAGATTTATTTGAATGTCATCTGTCAAAGTGATCTTTTCAAGCTGTTCTTAAAATTGTAACAACAAAGCTAAATTCTGTTTAATGCTCTTTAAAAATAATATATTTAGTTAGGAATGTGGATGTTTTCATATTCAGTTGGCCAGATATATGAGGATAAATGTCACTTTAGGACACTCCTGTTTTGTTGACAAGTGAAATGGCCATTTAATTGAGGTGGCTACCAAGAGTTTGATTTATATTAAAAATTATGCAGTTTTGCAGGAGAATTTCAGGGATCACCAAATAAATGAGGTTTTATTGTATATAGATTACTTATTATAATATAACTGTAAAGATTTGTTTTTATAGATGTTAAAAGTATCTATCCAAAATATATTATCTATAGATACATAAAATTAAATTAGATAAATAACAAAAATTTCAACATTTTTAGAAAGACATTTTGCAATTTGAAATAATAATAATAATAATAATTGTTTTGTTGCATAAATCAATGTATCTTATTTGATCAAAAAAGTGAGAGATTTCTGAACATAAAGAATTTTACTTGATCTAGTTAATTGTAATACATTTTTTTTATTAGAATAGATATTACAAATTATTTTAATCTATAGTAGAACTTAATTAAGAAGTTCACACATTAGAAGTTTTCCCATGTAAAATCAATATTCACTTTATCCTGGGAATGTTATATGGGAGAGAAATCACACTTAACTGATGTTAAAAACATGTATGTCTTTGAAAGTATTTGCAATTTTTAATAAATACATGTTTTAATGCCTGTTAATTGTGATTTCTTTCCCATATTTCCTATGTAAGAAATTTAATTTCATAAGTTTCAATTTTTTTTCCTATAAGGGACATGTAAATTTTTCCCTTATAAAATGTTTCCATATAAGAAAGCTTCCTGCTTAAGTGGACAGAAATCCTTGTCCACAACTGGAAAATGGACTTGCTTAAGAAGTCTTTCAACTGTATTCTATTGAAAATTTATACACATTTAATTGCATATGGTAAAAGAAGAAAAAATTACATTAGGAAGTGCACAAAATTTCATTTATGTTCAAAGTAGCATGACTTTGGAAACTTTGAACACAAACTTTACAATTTTCTTGCAATTATCTGGTGTCAATGTTTACAACAAACAGCAAGTTCTGGCAAATATTATCACTAAGTGGGTGATACTGTAATTCTTCAACAAATTTAGTGTATTTGTAGATCTATGGATTTGTTAGTGGGAATCATAAAATGTATTTCCTTTTTACATAAGGATATGGATGAAGAATTCTACATTGACAAATATCTAAATAAATAGTTATTTTATAAGCTAATTCACTGTAATATAATAGAACATCGTTAAATAAATACAGATTATTGAAAGTTTAGCAGAAATAAAAATAATATACCTTAAGATTTTTTAAATAGGCCTCTTGAAAAGCTTATTAATCAAGTTCTACTGTATTACATTTGTCATACTTATAATAGAATGAAATTATTTAATTTTTATAATAATATATAATTAATTATTCTTTGTTTCTTCTTCTCTTCTTCTTCTTTGTCTCTTCTTCTCTAAAAGTATTCTTTTATCATGAATTTAATTTCTTATATTTTGTAATTAATTAATAAAATATTTGATTATTTAATAGGTTTCCCAGTCTAAAGGTCAAGTAGGTGCAGGTTAGTATTGTTCTTTTTTATATTTGATATTAATTCTGATTAATTTTTTATTTTCAAATTTCATCAGCTTCTTTATGATTTAGAATCTGTATTGTTAATTTTATTAATCAAAGAACTATCATTATTTGATAGTTTTAATAAAATACAATTTTAGATAATTGACATATTTTTTTGTGTGATTGATAAAAACTTGTAAATACTAAGTATCTATTGTAATTAAAGTGTTTATATTCAGAACTGACTAAAGACATATATTCAACACTGATTAGTGTTGAATATATGAGTACAGTAAGACTCCACTTAATGTGGGGAATGCGTTCCTAGACAACAAAGCATTAAGCAAAACAGTGTTAAACGAGGTCATTTTAACATAGAGTAAATAGGGATAGGGGAACACGTGACCAAAAATAAACAAATTTTACTTTAATTTTAAGTTATTTTTATATTAATTTGTATAATAATATATGTTAAATAACACATAAACATATGCACACAGAAATGTAAAGTTCATTTTTGTGATGAAGGTCCTGACATTTCTGAAATTCTTTGTTTTTTTGCAATAAAGTTGTGAAGTTTCATTTGTCGCTTTTTTCTTTCCTGTTGGTAGCAGAAGATCGCATCCAAAATGCCTCATTTTGCTTTTGCACTCCTTTCAAACTCTGGATCATTCACTACAATTTGATCAATGATTTTGGTTATCTTACCAAACTTTTACTAAGGAAATCTGTGGAGAAATTTTTTGGGTTCTTCGTTTTCAGAATCTCTATTTTCCAGTTCTACATGAATTTCATGTTCTGCCAGTTCTTGAAGGTCATCGTTGGTAAGGCTCTCACCAGAAACCTGCTGTAACTCAATATCCTGTTTATCTATATCTCCTAATCCTACTGTATCAATTAGGTTGAGTTTGGTCAACCTAATGACACAGCGATAGGTTCTTCTTGTTGAGAATTCTTGGATACCTTCAGCCATAACAACTTCCACACTCTGTTCATGCATTTATCAGTTAATTTTTGCCAAGCGAAGCCGATATTGCCTATGGCGTCCATGATGTTATATTTTTTCCAAAATTGTACCAAACAAACATAGATTTAAAGAAAGTACACCTTTTTGCCACATTTTGTTGATTGGTTTGTGTTTGCAAATAATCGTATTATATATAAATAAATGAATTTCCGTGATAATTTAAATTAGCGTAAATTTTGAGCTTTTTTTTAGGCTTCGAGCAGACCATGTTATATCAAATCAGCATTAAGTGAGGCAGTGTTAAGTGTGGTCTTACTGTATTTACCTAACTGAATGCAACCAAATCTGATATGGTGACATTTCAGAACATGTGGAAGACAATTTCATAAAAGAATTTTATGTTACAATTTCATGATGAACTCAGGATATTTTTCTTTTAATTATCAATTAGAGATTCAGACTATGTACAAAAAATTATTTAATTAATTTTTGAGTCTATCAATTAATTCTTTTTTCATACACCATAGAAGTACCCTTTTACATTGGTTTGAAGAAATCACTTCATAAAAACGAATAACAATAGGTAAAATTTACAATTAAAAATGATCACTCTTTGATGGTCCAGAGAAGAGATGCTTGATGCTTTTGTTGTATACCAACTATAACAGCAACAATGTTTTGAGCAAATAACTTTCATACAAGATGGGGCATCTCCACATACTGTTTCTGCAACATTTCATTGATAAGAGTAATTAGTTCTGCATTTCTTTTGCATGGCCACCCTATTCTCTGAATCTTAATCCATGTGATTTTTGGTTGTGGAGACACTTAAAAAGTGTGGTTTATTGAGAATTTATTGCAAATTTGGCAGCCAGAAAAGACAGTATCATACTGCATGTGAGAAGCATGGAAAATCAATTATAATTAGTTGAATACACCATTTGCCTTCAGGTATTGATGGCCACTTACAGAATGGATATTGTATTGAGTAGTATTCTACACATCACTAAAGGTTTCTGTCTAGCATATGTCTTGAACAAAGGTTTATTGTTTACAGCAGTGGTTTCCAATTAGTGGTACGCGTACCCCTGGGGGTACTCGAAATTGCGTGAAGGGGTACGTGCGGCAATCTAAAATTGGTCGATTTAAAATTTAAATGCACGAGATGAAGCAATCAAAAAAATAACACAGATCTGCAAAAAAAAATTTTTTTCCAGCTGCATGGAATATTTTTGCTGAATTATATGTTTTAAAGATCACAGATTCTAAAAATAACTTCTGTTACATCCCATCACATAAAGGTTTTTTGCAAAATAAAAACAAATTTTTTATAAAAACTCTTATAATATATTTAGTTCATTGTAATAAATATTTTCTAACAACTAATCAACAAATTGTTTCTGATATTTATACACAATTTAGGTCTACTCTTTTTTCTTATGAAACCTTTTCTTCTTCTTTTTGATGCTTCTCCAAACTCGTTTCCAATTTCCTTCTCTGGTTTCTCGATTGAGCATCCAACAGTAGTCAGCTAACATATTGACATCCCATTTTCCTTTTCACGTCTCTCGATATCACGGACATCCTGATGAAATCTTTCATCCTGTTCTTCATTGTAGGCTCCCAAGTTTTCAGGAAAATAGTCAATATGGGAGTAAGAAATGAACTTTTAAGCTCATCTCGCATCCTCGAGCTTGATACGCTGCTGCCAGCATGTGTTGTACAATGGTTTCATAGTCAGGGTCCTTAGTATTTCCCAAAAACTTATGCACTACATTCTTGAAAGAGTCCCATGCTTTTTTTTTCCTTTTCTCCTATTGTTTCCAGAAATGTGCTTTGTCTCGATCTCCAAGTTTCAATTTTAAATATGCAAATTAAACTTTCTTCACAAACTCACTTATGTTTCTTTGTTGACTTTTTACTGTGTATTCACCACAAACATAACAGAAGCTGTCGGTAGAAATTACACAACCTCTACGAGCCATATTCCAGAAATAAACATACATGCACAGTAGCGTTCAAATGCTGGATATAAACTGAGTGTGGCATTAGATGGCCGGCGAGATACTGAACTTACTTAGCTTGTTGAAACATTATCTAATCCAACAGCGGATTGTTTATATTTATTCCTAGTATCCCAGATAACATATTGAAACATGCTCAACCTCACCAATAATATTACTCACTATCTACTTTTAACCCATTTGTATACGATCATGAAACCTTCCTCCTAACGCTAAAACTATTTAACCCCCCACCACTACTCTCTTCAACCATTAACATTTTTATTTATTTATTACCAAGTCCAGCTATAATTGATAGAATTAATGTGAGAAGTCTTCGTTTTAAGGCTATTTTTTAAATAAAAAAAAAAGGATAGTAAATTTTAAGTTAACTAGGAATTTTATGCTAAATACAAACAAAAACTTGAGTGTAACAAAAAAATTGACGAGATGGAATTTTTTTGGTATTTTTTTCGTTTTTACCNTAAGGCTATTTTTTAAATAAAAAAAAAAGGATAGTAAATTTTAAGTTAACTAGGAATTTTATGCTAAATACAAACAAAAACTTGAGTGTAACAAAAAAATTGACGAGATGGAATTTTTTTGGTATTTTTTTCGTTTTTACCAAGTTGAAATATGTAAGAAAATGTATAAATACCCTATGCACTTTTTTACTTGCAGACCTGTGTAATGGGTGGACCATCAAAAATTTGGCAATTTACAACACAATGTCGAATGCGCAAATTCGTTTATTTATAACTAAAAATATTCTCGAAATTTCATCAAAAAAATGCATTCTGACGATACTTAAATGAAATTCTTACGCAAGAAACAAAAATTGTACAATTATCGTTATTATTGTGAAGCAGCAATAAAATATTTACTATCATTTTGCACAACATACTTCTGCGAAAACGGATTTTCGGCCGTGACAAACATGAATCGTCACCAACTTCTACTCGAAGATGACTCGAGACTGAAGCTGACCAAAAAGCAACCAGATTTTTAAAGTTGCACAAAGAAAATCATGCACATTTGTCTCATTAAAATTAAGTAATCTTATGTTATTTTCATTATTATTAGAATTGTATTTTAAAGGTAATAAGTGTAAAAAAAAACTTATTTTATTTATCACTAGCTGTCTACCCACGGCTTCGCCTGCATTATATCAAATTTTCTCGTGGGAGTAAGATATTTTCTAGCAGTAAAATGTAGCCTATGTCCATCTTCATCTTCAACGTGTAAGCTATCTCCGTGCCATATTTTATTAAAACCTGTTCGGCGGTTTAGACGCGAAATGGTAATAGACAGACAGACAGAATTATCTTCAAATTTATAATAGTATGGATTAATATGAATTTCTGCTGTAAGGGGTACGCGAGTTTGAGCTCTTTCTTGAAGTGGTACGCAGGAAAAAGTAATTGGGAACCACTGGTTTACAGTTTCAAAAGTGCCATAATGGTGAGCTTTGCTGCTAACTTTTTTATGGAAATGTCTTCTGCATGTCCTAAAATGTCACCATACCAGATTTGGTTGCATTTGGACTGCAAAATCTCTCTCTAGACAGTATTGAATAGGACCTTACTAATTTTTTTTATTCAAGTCTTGATTAAAAAACAATGGGAGTCTTTGATAATCACTGTAGATTTCTCTTAATTATTTGTCATATAAAGTCATTTATATATACTATAATAAATTTATATTATATAATAGTTAAATTTTTAACCTTATTTTTGAGTAAAATGAACTTTTATTAATTATTTTATAAAAGATGTTTCTTTCCAGGAAATAATCTTTGATTCTTTCCTGATTGTATTGTAGATTGCTTTTCTTTTATTATTTAAAATATCAAAGATGTTAAGATTTTTGACATTGATACATCTTTGATATTTTTTTATCTGTAAAATTAATATATTTAAAAAATATTGATTTTATAGATGAGTTAGTAAAGAAGGTGTATTATACTTCTGTAAGTAAAATATGTAAAATGTACATTGGAAATAGATATGAATATTTATGACAAACAAATGAAGT